AACATTTTTTCTTGCTTAAAATTACCATAAAAGGAAAATTTTTAACAAAACGGATGTGATCAGGAGAGAGTTTTTTTCAAATTACTTCTATTTAATAAATTATTATATTTTATCTTATATTAATATTATTATACTTATTAAATTAAATATTTTTTAAGATTTATAAATTAATAATATAATTGTTAATGCTTTTAAATTAAGATTATAAAATATTAATTTAACTTAAACTCTGAAAAATACTAAATAGTATTAATCTATAATAAATTTAATATATGAATTATTATTTACTTATATAAATTTATAATAAATTTAAGTATTGAACTAATATCAAAGTGGTGTTATTAAAAGTTTTAAAAATAAAAATAATATTAAATTAATTAATTAATATATTGATTATCAATTATATAATTTATATTCAAGTATCTATATTTATAAAAATATTAATAACAAATTTAAAAAAAAATTCAAAAAATGATTATTTACATTAAACAAATTGTTTTCAAATTATTATTATTATTATTATTATTATAAAATTTTGGATATAGTTACAATTTTTTAAAAAGATTTTAAGTAGAATTATATAATTATTCAATATTATTTAATTGTATATATATTATTTTAAAATTCTTTTTAATATATTGATTAAATAACTATAATAAATAGATTAATATTTAACTTATTATTTATTTAAAAGATATTGTTTTTTTTATAAATATATATCTTATATAAATAAATAAATAATAAAGAAAATAAATTTTATTTAAATATATATATATATAAAATAAAATAAAATAAGTAAAACAAAAAAGTTTTTTTTTCAATTTTATAAATTTTTATTTAATTTAACCAATCAATTTTTTATTAAAATACTATTTATTAAATCATAATAAGACCAAATAAAAAAGGTAATACCAAGTGACAACTTATTTTCAAAGTTTTATAAATCCATATTTAATTAATTTAGATATTAAAATAATTTTAATAAATAACAATAATTTATTATTACTATTTTATCATTAGTATAAGAATAGAATAGATTTTTTTTAAGTTGCTACTTTTTTTTGTTATTAATATAAGAATAGAATTTTTTTTAAATTGCTATTTTTTTAAAAAATAAAAATTTAATTTTTTAATCAATTAATATAAAATCAATTACTGTATATGATATATATACAATATACAGTATATTTTTTAGTATTATATTTAACAAATTAACTACAGTATTTTTCATATAAAAAAATTATTGAATCGAAAGGAAAAAACAAGTGTTTTTAGATCAACAGGCAATTCTCGTGACTACTCAAAACTTGGAACTTTGAGAGAACTCGCAGCAATCAACAATCTATGGAAGATCAATCGCATTTTTTACCACGTAAACGCGCAAGAAAATTTGTAACTTCGAGTGAGACAAAAGAATATCAGCGTGATGTTTCTGTCGGCGTATCAAAGCAGACCCGTTCATCCTCCTTTAATATCACCCAGAAAACAAGGTTAGACCTGTTTACAAATCAAATTTTCATTAGGTCATTATAAATTTTCCAATAGCCCGAGAAAAATTTCACGTTTTTTTATTAACAGCGACCAGAATATCTCGAACGTAACTGATACAAGCCTTCAACGTTGTGAATGGCAAGTAAATATTTCTTATTGTCTACATGTGATTATTTTTTTTAACTTCCTAATACATTTTTTTTTATTAAAAACTAGTGGAAGAATAATTCCTCAGAGCGTATCGGTTCAACAGTAATCATGATATAAATTATTTTTTAGCCATAATTGTTGGAGTTTTAAACTGTTTCTTATGTAAGTCTTAAAAACAGAACTTCTGCCAATCGCGAATCGATAACCACCATTTGCCTTCCTCATATTTCGGCGCGAAGTCTCGTGGAAAAGGCATTGAGATACAATCGCGACATCAATCAAAGTGACAAATTATTGGATAATGTTTACGATTTTACACCGGGACAAAATGGCTTTTCAGTGGAAAAAAAAATCACTTAGTAGAAAAACACCGAAAATTAAAGACAAAAATCATGTATTATAATTTACACATAGGTATCATCACATACAGTAAAATGCAAATAAGTTTCAAAATTTACATATTATATTTAAAACAAATAAAATATTTATAAAAGACAAAGTATTAATAACAGTTATGTATAAGAGGTTTAATTATACTGCCAATTCCAAAAAAATTGGTAAATTGATCAAATTGAAAAATCATCAAAAGAATTTAATTAAATGATTTAATGAAAAATTTATTATAAACATTATGTGTATATTTCATAATAAACCCTTTTCACGTGTTATATATGTCACCTGGATAGATCCGCTAATTAGTTTTACTTGGTTAAATCTTATTATTTTATTATGATATATATTATCGATTTTAATAAGGATCTACTATACTTGTTGATTTTTTGATGCATTACGTAAATTGACAATCCTTTATGATTATCTAGTTTCTTTCTTCTTTTTTATGCTCTTTACGCCGTCTCTTTTATGCTTTTTACGCCGTCTCTTCTTTTGTACTTTATCTACTTCGGAAATCTTATCCAATTTTTCACACGATATTTTTCCATTTTGATTTTCAACCTTTTGAAAATCATCTCGAACACTATCACCATTCAAGGTGTTCATGTGCGAAGGCGACAAGTAATGTTCATTCGCATCTGATTCTCGAGATTTTTTGCTCATACTAGAAGAACGTTAGACTGATTAGTCAGAGAAAACCACTGTTACCGTGATCAGAGCATATAAAGTTTTTTCTACCTGCTTAAATCCAATGGTCCTGTGGAACTCTTGACAAAACCATTATACAGATGTTGTTTTTTTACCACCTTTTTTGAAGAGGATGGTGATTCCGAGTTGCCCGTGGAACCCGATAGAGAATACATTGACTCGTCAGTACTGATTATTCCCATTTTGTTTCTTGGGATCGTACTTTCGTTGACAATTTTGGAAACCTTCACATCCTTCAAAATGAAACGGACAGAAAAAAAATCATTATCTCGAATGCGCAGGAATTGTCTCAAGGCCAAGAAAATATCTACCCCATCATCTGTCTTCGATACTTGTATATTGTTTAGAGTGTTGTTATATACATGATCCCACCATTCGAATGACCAATCCACAGAATTAGCACCAAGCTAGGCACAAAATGGGATAAATAAATTAAGCAAACATGTTGAACGCATAGAAAGTATATTATTACCCCGTGAGTGTCGTTCTTTGTCGATACTGTTATCGGTTTTCTTCTTCCCTCAGAATTTTTTCCTAAACCTTGATCTTGCGACCAACCATATTTTTTAAGTTGATTTATTGCAAAATTGTCTGCCATGAGGACTTTTGGAATTTCGATAATTTAATAAATCTTGTGTGGCACAAGATTCTAGAATTCTTGATTGGCTAATCTTAATCGACAGATTAGCGAATCATAAACGTGCGGACATATTCTTCTTTCTGTCTTGTAGAGAAAATGGGATACCTTGCACTCAAATATCTATACTCTTATTCCATTGTCCTCTTCTTTATCGTACTGTTTATCCTTTTCATAACAGGACAGATAGATCCTGTTTCAATACTGTCGTCTACCAGTCCTTACTCATGGGCATTGCTTGGTATAGCGTTCTGTATAGGATTTAGTGTTGTAGGTGCGGCATGGTAAGCATGATTCACGGACGTACCCTCTTTTACGTAGAAAGATATCAAAGGGACCTTAATAAAAATTTCTAACCAAATTATTTATCCTAGGGGAATTTTTATCACCGGTTCGAGCATTCTTGGCGGAGCCGTCAAAGCTCCCAGAATCAAAACCAAGAATCTTATAAGGTATATACAGTAAAATTTGATATCTGTTGAAAATTCATTTTGCAACATTGAATTATTGTCATTTACCCACGTTCCGTATTTTTTTAATTTTATTTTTATTTTATATTTTCTTTTTAATGTACAATAATAATCAGTATTATCTTCTGTGAGGTAGTTGCCATCTACGGCGTCATCATGGCAATTGTATTTTCGGCAAAGTTACAGAACGTATCTGGACCGGATTTATATTCTCGCTCAAATTATTATACAGGTAATTAAATTAAATTAAATTAAATTAATTATTTTTGGAAATTCAGCATACAGTTAATTTCAGATTTGACACATCCTTGTTCTACACTTTAAAAGGATATTCCATTTTTTGGGGAGGCCTAACGGTGGGATTTTGTAATTTATTCTGTGGAATAGCCGTAGGAATTACCGGAAGTACGGCTGCCTTAGCCGATGCACAAGATGCAACATTATTTGTTAAAATCCTTGTGGTTGAAATTTTTGGAAGTGTGCTTGGTTTATTTGGTTTGATCATTGGACTACTTGTTGTAAGTTCGAATCCTGTTTTTCATTTCACGATTCTATGATCACAATTGTTCACACGTTCACCTTTTCTTATCTTCACCACAGACCGGAAAGGCTGGAGAATTTGCATGATCACAGGCGACACAATATTTTTTTCTTTAGTACTTGTTAATGTATCTAAAATAAAACAAGTGTATTATACAAGAATTTGCATGTGTTACGGAATGGGTTTGTATTATAAAGTGTTGTCAATTCTTGAAATTTCTTTGTTTTAGGTAATGTATTTTATTTATGCAGATGCAAGGAAAAAGGGTTTTTATGTGTCTATCTATTTATTTCGCCTTTAGAGTTGTTTTTCTAGTCATAGATCCAGATTATTATAACGTATATCTTAACAATATAAAACCGGTTACACAGAAATAATGTTCAGTTCATTCACGTGATGTTTTTTCATTACGACCTCGTGATCGATTGATTACTGCGTCGGGAAGAATTAAGAATTGAAAATCGTCCATCATTGCTATAAGAACTATATCGGCGAGTAAGCCACTTTGCCCACCATAAAAAACACTCGAGTCTTAAATAGAATAACAGATAATTGTGATTGTATAATGATACAGTAATTCCGGATTCTATTCGGGTTTATTAAGTTCCCTATTTTAGTAATAAATAATAATTTTGGGCATTACGGGTTCTAGAAGCCGTGATCAAATCAAATCAAATCAACCTAACGACAGTCGTTACCATTACGGAAAGAACTTGTTTCTTAAAAAAAAAAAACCCTTTGATCGTTTAAGCTTAAAATTGCATGTTGGAGAGCTGATGCATTCTTCTTGTTTCCTTATTTTAGGCGGCGGATTCCCTTGATGTCAGGTCATTCATTGTATGGCATACGTATGTTTGATTTCACAATAGGACAAGGGAACTTCCGAAATCAACTGTATATAATACTGCGCCCTTCTCCGCCGGCCTATTGTGCAGGAGCATTCGTGGTGATAGACTAATTAAAAAGGGTAATCTTGATCCAATTGCCCATGTATAGAAAATAAAACATTACAAAAGTGTGTCGGGAATTGAATAAGAAAAAATTGCGATAGGTGAAGTAATCAAAAAGGATAGATAATTCGTTAAAGTTCAACTGCAGTACGACGATGTGAAGATGAACAAAACAAAAAAACCGTTTTTCTCATGACATATGATGCCACTAATATATATATATGTATAGTAAATTTCGCGATACTTGTCATCCCGATCGTCACAAACATTACATTGACTGTCTCTGTTGTCAATTTTTCAATGGTCCCTACAATCGAACATTATTTTAATCACATTTTTTCCTTTTGCGAAATGGGTTCAGACAGCGCAGTTTGGCACTTCCATACTTTGAAAAAAAAAAAAAAAAATCGGCTCTTGTCTTTTACAGTCAGCCTAATGCAAAAAAACGTACGAAATATGCGTACAGGCCTTCAGGTGCGGATCATATGATTTATCATAACCACACCTTCTTAATAGTCCCCCTATGCGATACATGTTATAAAACGATACACGACGTTGAAGAACTGTGGATATCAGAGCCCTTTTCTCTTCATGCGGCCCGAGCCGGCAAATGAATACATAGGCAATTACCACTAACGTACAATCATCGTGCAATTTCATTTATTCATGCACGTCGGGATTATCTCTCGCGCAGTTTACAATTTATTATACTATATTACCAAATGAGTGACGATTAAGTCGACTGCCGCGATTGGTCCTCACATTTTTTAAATCAATTTTATTTGTTTAATTGGTCCTTTGCTAGTTCATGCAGACGTAACCCTGGCAGCACGTATTTTTTTAGCACCTTTGGCGTAGAAATTTTTTTTAGCTTGTTTGGACCTTTTATCCTTTTATATCCTGTCCAAAAATCTTTTTTAGCCTCTCCTTTCACCCGTTCTTTTGCGATTAAAATTTTTCACTTTTGCTTTCTTCATCTATTATTTGTTTTCGTGTCTTCCCTCTCCCAAAACAACTGTCTTCCTTTTTAAAAAGATTTTAAGAAAAAAAAATGAGAGAAATCATTCACTTGCAAACAGGTACGCTTAACAATCTTACGCTCGTTCCTTATTCCTGCTTTGCTTCTGTACTTTTACTTATCGCGTTGCTTATTTACTTCTTGCAGGTCAATGCGGTAACCAGGTATCTTATCGAACTATGATTATCAAGTTTACGAAAACTTGGTTTCCTCAAGCTCGAGTCGCCAAGCCACAAATAACGCGTCTCTCTTTTGTTTATCTCCCTGATGACTAACCCTCGTTCTTATTTTATCGCGTCATCTGTCCTTAGATTGGTCAAAAGTTCTGGGAAGCTATCTCCGCTGAACACGGGCTTGACCCCACCGGTGCATACCACGGAGACAGCGACCTACAATTAGAGCGTATCAACGTATACTACAATGAGGCAATGGGTGGAAAATATGTGCCAAGGTTAGTCGTCAAGGTCGGAAGGATAAATGCAAGAGATAAAAAAAAAAAAAATGTATAAAATACGTATTTTAGCTAGTGTGCTTTCTCTTGCGTTTCTCGTGTAAAAGATGGGACCAAAGTTTGGTCAAGCATGAATCGTCTTATAACAAACTTTCAAATTCCTTGTACGCAGAGCTATACTAATAGACCTTGAGCCGGTGACCATGGATTCTATCCGATCTAGCCCGTATGGTGCCCTCTTCCGACCAGATAACTTTGTGTTTGGTCAATCTGGTGCCGGTAACAATTGGGCCAAAGGTTATTATACCGAAGGTGCCGAATTGGTCGATTCTATCTTAGATGTCCTTCGCAAAGAATCAGAATCTACGGATTGTCTCCAAGGTTTTCAAGTAACCCACTCTCTAGGTGGTGGTACCGGTTCTGGTCTCGGTTCTTTGTTGCTTTCCAAGATCCGCGAAGAATACCCAGATCGTATGCTATGTACATTCTCCGTGGTTCCGTCACCAAAAGTGTCGGACACCGTCGTTGAACCATATAACGCCGTGCTCTCAGTTCATCAATTGGTAGAAAACAGTGATGAGACATTCTGCATTGACAACGAAGCCTTGTACGATATTTGCTTCCGCACATTAAAATTAACCAATCCAAGCTACGGCGATCTCAACCATCTCGTGTCAGCTGTCATCAGCGGCATCACAACCTGTCTACGATTCCCCGGTCAGTTAAACAGTGACTTAAGGAAACTCGCTGTTAACATGGGTATGTCATTCCTTTTTTTTTTTTTTTTTTTTTAATACTCACCGATAAGTTTACAAACAATATCTTAATCCAACTATTTGCATCCTATATAGTTCCTTTCCCACGTTTACATTTCTTCATGGTCGGTTTTGCTCCATTGACCTCGCGTAGCTCTCAAGGATTCCGCGCTCTCACTGTACCAGAATTAACGGCTCAGATGTTCGATTCTCGTAATATGATGGCTGCATCCGATCCCCGTCACGGCCGTTACCTGACCGTTGCCACGATCTTCCGTGGAAGGCTATCCACCAAAGAAGTTGAACAACAGATGCACATGATCCAAACTAAGATGAGCTCATATTTTGTTGAATGGATTCCGTCAAGTGTAAAAACCGCCGTGTGCGATATTCCTCCGATCGGTCTCACGATGTCCGGTACCTTTGTTGGTAACAGTACAGCTATCCAAGAACTCTTCAAGCGCATAAACACACAGTTCACTGCTATGTTTAGGCGAAAAGCTTTCTTGCATTGGTATACCGGTGAGGGTATGGACGAAATGGAGTTCACCGAAGCTGAGTCTAACATGAATGACTTGGTTTCTGAATACCAGCAATACCAAGAAGCATCCAGTACGTGTCACGTTTTCATTTTCTGTTTACCAAAAATTTTTATCAACCTTACTAATATGCACTATTGTTTCATCCTTTACTAGCTGAAGAGGATGGTGGTGAATATGATGAAGGTGGTGAGGAAGAGTACCCCGCTGAAGAGGAAGCCGAGTAAAATTGTGTACGGTACATATAATTGGTGAAATTACATTAATAGACACCCAAAGTATACCATATATGTATTCTTCATTTTATATTATCATTATATATTAGACTTTTTGCCTCCGCCACATAACTTTAAAACATTCAATCATATGTAGCTCTTTCGCTTGTAATATAACAGCAATTATCTTTCATTATCTTTTCTCATTCGTTAATTCCAGCAACCATTGCGGAAATTATACGATTATTTTATCGACTGGAGACACTTTGTTACGAGGGGAATTTTTTTTTTTTTTCTTCAAAACGCAATCTACATATAAACAACTGAAAAGGTTACTATTCTGTTAAATGGGATTGATGAATAATTCTTTATTTTAATCATCTGAAAATGAACAATTGCTATTCTTCGTTAGTTTTCTTTATCATAGAATATTAGCAAACACTGAATTTTAGTTTTATTAAAAAAAAAAGATCTTAAAAATTTATAAGATGTTAACATATAGTAATAGTTTGTTAAAGTCGTTATTATTTTTTTTTCAAGTAATGTTTACATGAAATATGGTCTTAATTTTTAATTTTAATATTTATATACGCACAAATTAATTATCGCTTTACTACTAATAAATAAATATATCTATATTCGTAATAACAAATTCTATATGCCATGACATGGATATACATATGTACAGAGGGGTTACTAAAAATTGGGTCGATTTTTTAATAGATGAAAATTATCAAGTGGTACATTTATTTTTTATTATATAAGTAATAAACTACCAATGTATTGCACTTCATTTATACAATCAGGCATAGTATCTATATGATTATGAATCTTGCTAAATTCAATATTATTCCATACTGTAGTAACAGCTTTTTCTAAATCAAATTCATTACATGGTTTATGGTTCTTATAAATCCAGATTTTAATTTTCCATATATTTTCAATTGAATTAAGATCTGGAGATTGTAGTGACTATTTAATAGATGTAATATTAAGTTCAAACTTGATTTTTTCTGCAAGTTTACATTTGTGAATAGGTATGTTATTCTCCTGTAGTATTTCTTCTTCAGCAATGGAAATTATTAAATAAATTGTATCCAAAATAAGATTTGAATATTTTTCTCTATTCATATAAGCTAAGATATGAGTTAAGTAGCGCAAATCACTTCCATTCATATATTCCCAAACCATAATTAACTTGTATTCACTCTTGACAATTGCCTATATACAACTTGGATCATAAAATTCATCTTTATAACACCAAATTTGAATTTTGTCAGTTGAATCAGTGCTTATAGAAGATTTATCAGTCCATAAAACTTGTCTTCAATCTTTTTTGAACCAATTTTTGTGATCCTGGATCTACTTTAATTATTTAATATGGTTGGCTTTACTGATCATGAGTTTTTTTCATACAATATAAGATCAAATGCTATTTTTTTTAAAAATTTTTATTAGAGTAGTTGAGGATATAGGATTTGTTGAAAATTTGACAACAATTTTTTTTTTTGATATTCTTCTAATTTCCAGATATGTTTTTATTTTGCAAAGAATTAAATATTCAAACTGTTGATTTATAATTGATTTTTGATTATAGTTTTTTTTTTTCAAATAATCCGAATTGCTAATTGACTTCAAATACCTAATACAATTTTTAATATAATTGTCTGATTGATCAAGAATTTGTGCAATTTTAGCTACAAATATATCTTCTTTTTTTTAATATTTCTATAGTATGAAGTTCACCTTCTATAAGATTCTTTTTTATTCTTATTTTTTTTTAAAAAATCATTTTTTTTTTAATTTTTTACTTATATAAAAAACAAACAAAAACAATTTTCTTTTATTAACTTGCAGTATAATACTGGTACATATTTAATATAGATAATTGTAAATTGCTACAAAAATAATATTCATTGACTCAATTTTTAGTAACTCTTCTATACAGTTTATATATTAAAAGAACATTAGGAAATTTTTTAACAAAGATCTTTGAAAATCTTCAGGCATAAATCTCTGGAGAACCTCCATTATCATTAAAAGACTCTGGAGTGAAACTTAATATATTAAACTCCAGAGATCTTTGATTTATTTTAATAATAATAAAATATATTTATATTTTACATATTATATTCTATTAATATTTAATTTTAAATATTTATTGACTTTTAAAATTATTTATTATTACACAATTCTTATTTACATTTATTTATTTGTCTAAATCTTTGCTCATTGCCAAAGTTCTTCTCTCTAATTCTCTATTTTCCAATAATTGTCCTGAATTATTCTCAATATTTCCACATTCCTTCAGATTATCTTCTATAGTAATAATTTGTTGCTCAGTCATTTTTTCATTTTCACTACTTGAATTTTTTTCTTCAAATCCAAGTCCTTTTTTAATTCTCTTAAAAATATTATCAGCAAAAATTTATATTACTTCGAAGACTTTTAAAACTCATCTTATTTTTTTTTATTTTGTTTTTAATTAATGTTTCATTTATTGAAATACTTTCATTATTTGGATCAAGAACTGTTTAATATACTGCAATGGTGAATGCTACTTGTTTGTTGGAGGTATCTCCTTTTAGCCAGACTTTTTTAAAAATACAGGCCATTATGCTTTGTGTCTCTCCTTTTAAATATTTGTGAAGGTTTTCAAAATACTTGACAATTTTTCAAGATTGTTTTCAGGCCAAAATTTTGGTAACAGATGTATTTATTTTTATTATATTCAAAAACTCTTCACTAAAAACTGAAAACATGGCATCACAAATTTTTGAAGCCATAGTTCCACAAAGCAATTGATACTGTTTCACAAGCTTTAAAACAATAAGGTATTAAATAACTGAAGAACTAAAGTTATTAATATTTATAAAAATTATCACTTAATAAATATGTTTTTTATAATATGTTTTTCAACATTTTCTTGTGAGGCCTTCATAAAACTCTGAATGTTCTTGCTAAAAAAATTCCTTGGTTGTTCAGCGAAAATTTTCAGAGTCTGGATATATTTTTTCAAAAAATACTTGTTTCGCGATACTTTTAACTGTGTACTATTTAAATAAAATATACTGTAAGTTTTCGAAGATCTTTAAAGAAATTCAAAAATGAACCTTACCTCGATAAAATCATGTTTGGTAATTAAATGTTAACTCACATAAATTTCATTTTTTAGGTGGGTAACCTTATTCTATATAATTTTTTGCCATTCTAACAATTGATTGATTTTCTTATGAAGGTCTTCATAGAACTTCATAATTCTTTCAATAACTTTATTAAGAACTAAATATATAAGTTACATCAGGAAATTTTTTTGGTGGAGATCTTCAGTGATCTCCACCTAAAAAAAATTTTTTAAAATTTCTGAAAAAATCTTCGAAAATCTTTAAAGGTTTTTAAAAATTTTTAATATAGAATTTTTTAAAATAAAAAAATCCCAGAAATTTTTATTTCAAAAAAATTTAAAATTCTTCGAAGTAATAATCATTATTTTAAAATAAATAATTATTTAATAAATATTCATTACTTTTACCAAATCTTGGAATTATATGAACTAAATTATCTATTGCTCTTATATCTACTAGATTATATATATCTGTTAATTTAAGATATGTGCAATCATACATGTATGGTGATTTTTTCGATTTAAAATAATACTATTATACTAATACTAATTGAAGTGGAGGTCTCTGAATTGTTCCGCTTATTTTTATTATTAATAAAACTTAAAAAATTATATTAGTATTAATATAAAATATGACCTGTGAGTCTATAACATGATGGTTAATGCTCCACAGGTCAGATCACAAGATACCAGTTCAATTCCAGGTGAAGGCAGTTGAATAGAATAAATAGGTATCTGGCACTATAACTTGTCAAGTGTCATTTCTCAATACAAGCCGATTCATATGCAGATCCTGCAAGTAATAAGATTGTGACTATCAAGAAAAAGTTGTTATGGCATGATGATTATCTGGTTGATGATATGACAATCACCAGAAGTAGTAAAAAGAAGTGCAAAGTTATTGGTTTCAATGTAAAAAGACAAAAGATCATTTCCCTATGGGTATAAAAAGTGTCCTTCTATGAAGAGCTCCACTCCAATCCAGTAATACATCAGCTTGCTAGTTACTTATCCTGGAAAGGCAAGCCAGAAAAGCAAGAAGTCCTTGGCCATATGTAGGTAACTAAATAAGAAGATAGTAATTACAGATAAAAATGAATATTAGTGTTAAACAAAGAAATTAAATAGGTAATGCTTGTGTAAGCAAGCAGGGTGACAGACTATATTCAGATAGTTTAGACTTGTGGGTAGGTTCTAGTTAATATGTGATTAATATAGTATAAATTTAGACATAGTACATATATAATAAATTATTTATATTAATAAAACTAGAATATTGTTTTGCTTTAACAGTTTAAAAAAAAAAAAAAGTATTAATATAAAATAATATTTATATTTTAAATAATTATAATTACCTTTCTGTAACAGATTCCATCATCTGTCATATAGTTACATAATTCTTCGGAGTTCATTTTAATCGATATATCACTAAACCATGAAGTATTATGATATTTATTAGATGCCCGGACAATTCCACCATTCTCTATAATAACTGTTCCAAATATCATTAATATAAAATTATTTATTGAAATATTCAAAGAA